ATTTTACCTCAGGAAGAAAATTTCTCATTTATGTACTTTACTCCATTCATAATATTACCCTGACACAAATCAGAAAAGACCCACTTTGGGGAAAGCAAATATGTTAAGGGTGGAAGAATAGAGGACAGACATATTTTAAAAGTAGGGTATAGAAAGCAGGGCCTATGAAGGTAGAATGATGAAGGAAAGAGTTTAAATAGAGGATGGGATGCAAAGGTGGGGCAGAAGAGAGTATAGAGAGGGACAATTAGAAGTCATATGAGAACCCATTTTATAAACTTCCTAAACACATACACACAAACATGCACAAAGGATTAAATTCACGTTATCCTACACAAAAGATAATGATCTTAGCTCTAGATTGCTAAATAAAAAGTCTAATGCCAAATGAGGGGTGCCTTCCCTCAAGTTGTTGGTCAGAAGATTCCCACAGACAGTCCCTCCAAAGAATATAAACTACTGGCACTGTTCTAGGATGCTCACCAGAACTTGATGGTGATGGCCCGTTGTTGAACATACTACATACTTTGGTCACAGTGCATGGAGAAATCAAGCTGGTACTGAGAATAAAGTTTTCCCCCCAATGGATAGCTTTCACACTATTTACTGGGAGAAGTAGCCTTCTGGAAAGAAAAGCCATTAAACGGTCTTATACGGCTATAAATATTGTGAGGTACAATGATGACCAGCTTGGGAAGATATGCCCATAAGTGCAATTGTGATACAAATGTTATAGGGGTAACCAATTGTTTTCTGATTAGATTTAAAGCCTGCTCCATGAGAGGAAATGGATGCCTGATAATATAAATCTGACCAAGAATGCATGGCTGGGAAGATTAGAGGCCTCAGGTGTCCTGCAGCAATTTTCTGAAATACAAATTTCCATCTTAGAGGGAAGCTCCTTAAGACCCAGGAGGGTCTAAAGGGAGAATTTTTTAAGAATCTGTAAATAAACTACAAGGAAGTCTCAGAAAGTCCCTAAAATTGACCAAATAATTGCATTAGGTCCTTTGCTCTCCCAAATTATACAAGCAGCAATGACTGCCAAAAGACCTCCAAGACCAGCTGGGCTGCCTGGACAGAATGGATGAGACAAGCTGCCTGTAAGAGGCAGAGCCCCGGAAACCTTCCTGGAAAAGAGACTCTATTAAGTTGCCTAAAAGTTGTGCAGTGAACTCCAGGTTTCTAGCACTCATGAGTTGTCACTCAGGTTGGGGTGTCACTCAGGTTGGGGTGTCACCCATGTTGGGGTAAGCTTTTGGTGATGCAGCCATTTTTGGGTCATTTTTACTCCTATAAGAAACTCTCCTACCCTTACTCCAGTAAGTAACCCCCCCCCCCCAAAAAAAAAAAAGTACTGGTTTACCACGTTGGAGTTTGCTGGTATTCTTACTTTAGTACCATCTGTGACAAATAGATGTTTGTTCATGCCTTCCCACAAACCAGGGATGAACTTAATCCTATTATTTTGCTAAATGTTCACAGTATCAAACTGCCTCCTAAATATGTATATAGATTTGGGCAGTTCTGAGTCCTCGGCAGAGTAGGGAGTGTCTATGAAGTGCTTAGCCATAAATGGGACTATAAGAACCAGAAGTTGGCAAAAGAGTATACCAAACAGTTGTCTTCTGGATATGACAGGGCCAATGAGCTATGTTGTGGAATATTAGCTGAAGATTTGTTTATGCTGAGGAACATTTGTTTAATGATGCAAAGATGTATTGTGTTCTTTTATGTTGCATCTGTTTAACTCTGTGCAGCTGTGTAACTTTGCCTGTCTAAAATACCTGCTTGGTCTAATAAAGAACTGAACAACAGCTTATAGTGAGGTGGGAGAAAGATAGGTGGGACTGGCAGGCAGAGAGAATAAATAGAAGGAGAAATCTGGGAAGAAAATATCAAGGAGTGAGAAAAGAAGGAGTTAGTCCCTCAGCCATACAGCCAAACACAGAATAAGAAGGAAAGAGAAGATACACAGAAATAGAGAAAGGCCAAACCCAGAAGCAAAAGGTAGATGGGATGAATTAAGTAAAGAAAAGCTGGCTAGAAACAAGCCAAGCTAAGTTAGGCATTCATAAGAAATAAGCCTCTGTGTGTATGTATTTGTGAGTTGGGTGGCAAGCCCCCCAAAAGAGCCTAAACAGTAATTAGTAAACAACAACAACTACATAGCCGTGGTTACCTACACAAGACCAGCACAAGATCAAGCCAGTAAATAATACTCTAGCATGCAGGAAAGGGGTTCATGACCTCCCACCCTTAGCTGAGAAGCTTGACTGCTGGGGGAAAGGGCCAGGTTCCTTAGGAGTATGGTTCCTAGTAGATAGAACATGATACGGTGGATGCCCCATACACATTCACATACGGGCAGCAGAAACTAGTCTGAGTGGATTATTAACCAAAAAAAAAAAAAAAAAGGAGGGGGGTAGAGTAAGCTGGAAAGGAAGGGGATAGATTCAGGAGAAGAGGAAGGAATAAGTGTGTGATGATGATAAAAATACATTATATGCATATATGAATTATCAAATGATAATAAAAATTACCCAGGACCAAGTTATATCAATTATACCACTTACCAAAAATATGATAAAAATCTGTTTTACCTATCACTTGGGTTATTTTCAACACATGTTATTTTTGCAATTTACCTATGGTAATCTCTTCAAAATGCAAATTTAAGCTTGTTCCTCTTCTTACCATCCCTAAAATGATTGCAGTCAAATTTTAGTACTTTTAGGCTAAGTAGTAATACAGTGTACTTACGCTCCCAGAATTACCTCATCCTTGCCCCCCAGGTTTTGAGCACTTCAGCTCTTTTAGTGTGTTTGCAGCATCAGCCTTTCTTCTGCAGACACTCATTTATCCAACTATTTTATAAGTTCTTGCTCCCTTCCCTAGTTTAATCTCACTGCCACCTCCGTGCTCACTGTTGGTATCAATTCTTCCACGAAACATTTCAGCTTTTCAAAATTTGGATAAATTCCCATTGTATTACAGACCTGAGCTTTGTCAAGACTCATCACTCCTGAAAATTTCTGAGTGTAAAAACTTCAGCCATAGCCTCTTTTCCATTAGGATACATACCTCCACAAAAGCAAGAACAGTGTCTGTCTGTTTAGCCCTGTAGTCACAGCAGCTGGCACAATTCTAAGACATAACTATCCCTAGAAAACATCTGATAACTGAGCACAGGAAGAAATGAACACAGTTACAGCCTATTCACAGTGCATGAGGAATATAACCATTTGAGACAAGAAACAAAGTTTCCATAGAGGCTGCTGACATCTGTGAGCAAAGAGCACATAGGTCTAACTCTAACCAGGAAAATCCACATCAGACACCGGAGCCAGGCTACAGAAATAGTGTCATAGGACGATTTTATATAACTTTATAGCTTTTGCAAAAATAAACTCTTGGGGGAAAAAACTTATGATCTTATGTTTCTTTGGGGCCATAGGATATACAGAGTGAATAAATTAGCCACAAAAGAACAGACAAAAATCCAAAACAAAACAAAACAATAGCCAAAATATGGCCAAAAATGGCAGCTCAAAATGCATAAGTATTTTAAAAAGATCAAACCAAATAGTGAATGGTTCCTTTTATAATTCCAAGGACAACAAACCTTCTAGCATTTTTTTATGGAGCAAAGAATATGCAAGTATTTTATATTTTAAAATATCTAAAATAAAACCAAATAAATATTAATAGTTTCATTTACTACTTATGTAATTTTCACTGAGACAGGAAGCCTCAGTCTATATAGCATTAGCCTTGGGTATATGAGAGCTCAAGTGCCCCTCCCCCATCTCCACAAACCCACTTGTATAGGTTTATGTCAGTTTTCCTAATGTTAAAGAATAGAGTTAGACGTAAAATAATTGTTTTAAAGACATATTTCATATAAATTTAAACTGCTTTTATTTTCTAGGAATATATCCTGATGAAATTTGTGTTCATAATTACAAGTTTTCTGTTTCTGAGTTTGACTTCATCCTTCCTAATTTGAGGGAAAGGAACACCAAGTTTCAGACTCAAAATAATTCAGGATGCCTGCACTTTCACACAGTGCACTTATGACTTGTCCGTGTTAAAGTAACATTCACCTTAATCTATATCTATAAGCTGGACTTTTGCTAGCACAATGAATGCAGGAAGAAAATAAATAAAACAAGATTATCAGTTCAGTGAAATTTATAAAATTCTAATAGAAGCAACCTTACAATAGAAAATGCATGCTGCCAATGTCCCGTGGAAATAATTTGAAAAGTGCACTTGGAGTAAGGGACCTTGAAATTGCACTTTTATACAACCCCTCATTAGTCCAGCATCTGATAGTTTGTTCTTAATAGTATCAGAGATGTCTGTTAACTGCTTGCTGAATATGCATGTGCCCACAGTGCTAACAAGTGCTCAGATTTCTGAGTGCTCGCCTTGTGCTAGGCACTGCTAAGTATTTTAGGTTTGAGGCTGACAACACTTCTAAGAACTAGGTACTTTATTTATAAAGTTTAAGTTTTCCTTGAGCATAGAGGAAAGGAGGCCAGGGTTGTTGGGAAGTAGCACAGCTAAGGTCTAAATGAAGGTATCTGACATCAAAGCTCCGATCATCCCACTGTGGAAAATACTACATCTTAACAAGATTTAGAAGTAGTTCTACATAAGAATCCAAAAACCAAAGTTGTTTCTTCCACATCTCAGTGATTTCTGAACAAAATAAAACAAAACAACAAACAAACAAACAAACAAAACCAGAGCTCAGAAGTTAGCAGAGATAAATATATGGCAACTAAGTCATGAAGGAGTTTACTAAGATTTACTCCAAATTTAGAGAAAAGTAACAGTGTTTTCTTAGTGTGAATTGATAAGATTTTCTTGGAAACATTGCATTTATTACTGGTTGGACTATCATCTGAACAAAGATTAAACTAAATATGGACTTACAGTATTACGAGTTGCCTAATATCATTCTGAAGAAAACAAAGTCCCTACAAGCCTACCTTGGCAAAAAACACGGTGAGGTGAGTTTCGCTGCCAACAATCCAAATAGGGAATTTTGGAGATTTCAAGTAAGAACCAACCTAGAATAAATTCAGCAAAGTAAAACAAATAAATGAAAAATTTATGCTGCCCTTAAATATTTGTTCAGAATTATGTGAAACATAACAAACATGTCTAACATTTCTTACCCACAGAGGTTAAATGCTGAGTACAGAAAGGAAATATTCCTGAACTTACACTGCATCTTTAAACCAGAACATAGCAATGTACATCTTAGTGCATATATACTTGTCATGAGTACTTTAGCTCAAGAATTCATTCTCAGATTTTGCTACATTTCCCAGATAGAACAGTCACCTCAAGAATTTCAACTTGAAACAAAATTAGAGCCATAAATTTATAATTATTTTATAAGGTAATCATTGTAAACCTATAACCAAGATAAGGGGAAAAAATAAAGGCACCCTTTTCCTTAAAGAGTTTAGGCTAATACAATAACCTCCCCTAAGAAAAAGTTATAAAACATTCAAGAATATAAAGGACTCCTGCTACTTGATGCTTGATGAAAAGGTCAAAGTTCTACAACATACATAGTATCTTTTGTTGTGTGTTTGTTTTTTTTGAAACAGGTTTTTCTGTAGCTTTGGCGCTTATTCTGGAACTCACAGAGATCCACCTGTCTCTGCCTCCCTCCCAAGTCCTGGGATTAAAGGTGTGCACCACCACTGCTAAAAAGCTATACTTACAGTTTACCTGCAAGGTCATATACATATACGATTGTACTCCTCCAAAAGGTTTTACGTCTGTATGTAAGACTGTGCCGAAAAACTTGCATTTTATTTGTAACTGGGATAGAAAGTCCATTTTGAACAAATAAAATAGATTCACACAATTCATCATGTTTATACTAATCAATTCTACACTTCCATGAGGACACTTCCCTTAAAAAACAACTAACTAATCTTAACCATCTAGTTTGCGGTCCTTTCCAATTCAGACTGACTATAACTGGAAACTCTAAGAGGCTTTCCTATTCAGCCTTTGCTTCAGCACCACCACAGCCCTATCATCACAAGGGAGGTGGAAAACAGGAACTCTTGTATTGATGGACAGAAGACACAGTTCCTTTGTCCTATGAAAGCAGGGATGAGTTTGATGTGCTAAATGAAAACTGGTCAAGTAGGAAGGATCCTCTGAGGACAGCAGAGAAGGAAATGAGTGAAGAAAGGCACAGTGCTCAATTATTGCCCAATGAGCTGCAGAGATGAGCAACAAGAGAGCTCACTCTTAAAAGTGCAGAGATGTGCACAGTGGCAGGGCCTCACCTGGACTTATACAGAACTAAAATCACAAATGGTGTTCTGACTCCTAGACTGAGCCTTTGTCACATAGTGGACAGTCTAGATACTACTCAATTTCCCTTAGAAAAAAAACACCTGAGGTAGAGGCTTAAAAAGAAGAAAAAGGAGGGTAAAAATTTACAATAGAAACAAAAAGGATAAACAAATGCTATGTTATTTTATAACAAAAAACAAAAAAAATATCAATCACTAGAGAACATATTTTCCTTATTTTGGATGGCCCTCCAATAGTTGAATAAAGAATTACAGTGTGGTCATGTAATTTCACTACTGAGTATACAGTAATGTAAAAACATGCCTATAAAAATGTGCAGACAAATGTTCACAGTAGCCATATTTATAACAGCTAAAACTGGAAATTACTTCTCTATTAAATTTGAACCATTAAGAAATAGAAGACTTGTGTTACTCAATTCTTCATGACAGAAGCTAAATGTAATGTTTTACAAAATTAACAGGCCCTTTAAAATGTATAATTTTAAACATCCATCAGTTGGTGGATGGAAACAAAACTGATACATTATAAAACAGAGTGATTTCAAGATAAAAAAGAATGAAGCATTATTACATGGGTAGAGGAACCCACAGAGCCAGAGAGCAGAGCTTTGATATCTAGAGCTAGGAAGAAGGAAGTGTTAGAGATTCTTTCGGGGATGAGGAAAACCTTTCAGAATTAGGTAAGGATGATGCCTACCCAGCCTTACAAATACAGCAAAATCATACATCAAAACGGTGATATTTATGATAATATGTTATTTATTTCCTGGGACTCACTTTGTAGACCAGGTTGGCCCTGAACTCAGAGATCTGCCTGCCTCTGCCTCCCCAGTGCTGGGATCAAAGATGTATGCCACCACCGCCAGCTCTTATCTTTAAATACAGTTAAAAGCACCATTCTTTGTGTGTGTGTGTGTGTGTGTGTATGGGAGACTTATAAATATGTACCACTTCATTTGTTTCTATGTATTCAAAATAAGTAAAATGGTAATTTAATTACTAGAAAGCAAACTGCTACACTACCAAATGGAGAAATGTTTAGATTTGTGACATTTTATACAAGCATAGTTCATTTCCTTTATGTCATTTCCCTATCTGGTGATATGACAGAGAACTTACTGATGAACTTATCTACAACATTTTAGAAACTGACAGCTTAGTTTTGATGCCCTAGTTATAAGCTGGTCAGTATGCTTTAAGATCAGCTGATTAAATTCATACTGCACCATTCTTTTCATAGTCCTCACACTGCAGGATCAGCCTTTTGCCCATATGTCAGGTGCCAGACACTTACAGCTTTATAGTACAGAGCTCACTGGAACTATTCAAATTAGCACATCATAAAAATCCCACTTGCCATGAAATCTGCGCCTGCAGCTCCAGCTTGCTGCTACCCTGTCCCAGGGTGGAAGCCATTGGTGGCTCAGTTGTCAGCTCTCTTTACCTATCATTTATAAGCAACAGTGCATTGGGGCATTAGAAGAATCCTGTAAGAGTCTAACACCATCAGGGAAGAGAAGAGAAAAAAAGTTCAAGATTAAAAAAAAAAAAAAAATGTAGAAAGTCACCATGGAGTAGTCAGTCATTCTTAGCAAATAATGTGAAATAGTAATTGAGGTCAGGCTAGAAAGATGGCTCTGCTGTTAAAGGCTAGGCTCACAACCGGCGCTATGAGAGTAATGGAGGGAATACATTTTCTGATACAACTTAACACCAACCTAAGGGAAGAATCAGCCATTCATTTGAAGAGCTGGGGCGCTCTCCACACAAATAGCGAGTATTAAGGTCTATCAGGCGGGAAAGGACTAAATGTGTCCAGCAAATGACAGGCCACCAGTGTGGCTGGAACATAGATAGCAATGGAGGGAGCAACCCTGACCTAATGACAGGATCCAGATGAAAACTTTATAGGCTACACAGTTATGGGTTTAACTAAGGGGTGTCCTCCTTAAGTGCATGCATTTGAACACTTTGCCCTCAATTGGTGGTGCTGTTTGGGAGTTTGACAAACATTTAGGAGGTAGATCCTTGCTAAAGGATGTATACCACTGGAAGCCAGTTTTAGAGTGTATAGCTTTGGCCCACTCCTTGCTCTCTTGCTCTCCTTCTCTTTCTCTCTCTCTCTCTCTGTCTGTCTGTCTCTCTGTCTCTCTCTCTCTCTGCTTCCTGTGGGTAATGATCTCTGTGCTTCTAGTTTCTCCCACCATGGCATGTCTCCTTATCAGGATGGATTCCTTCTGGAACTGTAAGTCAAAATAAATCCTTTCTTCCTTAGATTCTTTTGGTCATGGAATTTTATCAAAGCAACAATGACAACAACAAAAAACTATACAAAGAAACTTAAAAAGAAAAATGGAAGCACTAATTGTCATCAATATTGCATTGAATATGTAATTCAAACAGTTTTGATTTTACTCCTTTAATCACAAACACGTCTGCTGTAATATGTTGTAGACATGTTGCTATATTATAATTCATTGACATAACATGATCAATTTGTACTTCATTTGACATTGTGAATAAACTGTGACAAACATTTATGAGCAAGACTTCTGAAATGTAATTCAAAAAAATATTTTTGTCTTTTATCTATTAGCCTGTTTATCCTTCCATGTGGTTAGCATAAGGTACTGAAATTGAAACCAATGTGGATATTTTATGCTGTCATATTAATAAAATGATATTACTAACACTTTCAAAAGAAAACTTAAATATTTCAGAATATAAAATCACCATAATTTGGTCACATGTAAAATAAATAAGAGAGAGAGAGAGAGAGAGAGAGAGAGAGAGAGAGAGTGTGTGTGTGTGTGTGTGTGTGTGTGTAGGTAATCGTAGGTGAATACTTTCTTCCAGGATAAATGAGTAAATGATAAGTATGTGGACTGAGGATAGGGAATTCAGTTCGAATCTCTGATTGCCAGGCTATCTTAGAATAGTATTAATTTGTATAATTAAAATGACTGAAAATGAAGGTGTTACTATTGTTTATAGTCACTACTTATCTTACAAGTAAGGTCAGAATAGATCCTGTATAGTTCTTACATCTATACCATCTCTGTTTATGTGCTGCTATGAAGGAGGAGTTACATCTTGACAAACAGACACAGGAACAATAACGAGCTCACTTGTACACAGTCCCACACTTGCACACATACACACGCACACACACACACACACACACACAGAGAGGACAAGATACTCGTTAACATTACTAAAAATCATCATAATCATAACCACTGTATGAAATAAACATTTAAAATTAAAAAAACACAAATCTCAAATCTACATTATTCTTTGTCTAAGACTGTGATGTCTTGTGAGAATACTAAGTAAGTCTCATTTAAAATTACTGGTAATATTTAATGCTTACTGTGGACTGTACAGGAAGGTATATCAAATCAAAAATGAAGGTTCAAGGTAGTTCACAACCCTAGCACACACACATTAAAATACCTTAAAAATATATTTACGGTTAACCATATATACTTTTATTTTTTATATTATTTTGTTCTGTGCTCTGATAACCATTCCCTTCACAGGAAAATAAGAATGATTAGCTACCTTAATTTCTTAACACTTGTTTAGGATGGGAGTTCAGCAAGGAAGTAAGACAGCGATGAGTGGTAACAGCCAGAGTTGAAGTTAGTTACCAAAGAATGAAAATACTGTCCATAGGATGAACATACTCAAATCCTTCAAGACATTTACCTTACAATATCGTAAAGCTTCCATTAACGTTAAGAATCCTACAGCTGCTTGTTCATGGATACCGAGAAGTTCTGCAAAAAATAAACAAAACCAAATTTAACACTACTGTATATGTAAGTCTGAGTAGTGTGTATACATATATATGTGCATATATGTATGTATGTGTATATACACACACACACGTGTGTGTGCATGTGTGTGTGTGCATGCACAAGAGTGCATAAACATATTTATATTCAAATCATGCTAAAATGTTTTCTTTCATCTAAAGCTATCTTTAAACCTTTGTACGTATTTATTGATACATCAAAAGTCAAGCTGGACATGGTGGCTCACACCTTTAATCCCAGCACTTGGAAAGCAGAGGCAGGTAGATCTCTGTTCAAGGTTAGCCTGGGTTACACAGTGAGTTCCAGGACAGTCAGGGCTACTCAGAGAAACCCTGTCTTGAGATATGCCTATCTTTGCCTCCTGAGTACTGGGATTAAAGGTGTGTTTGAAACATGGACATTTCAAGTTGTCTCTTTCGACTCTAAAATGAAACCAGGAAGTATGCTTAAGGCCAGGGAAACAGTGATGACTAAGAAATAGTCTAAGGGTCAAATGAGAACAATGGTGCTTCCTACATATGTGCATACATATATGTCAGGGCCCATAGAAATTGGCTCCATCCCATACTGAGTTAAGGTCAGAGAGTTCAAGATTAAAGGCTTAAGACATAAAGGTCTAAGATGTGGGTACTGAAGGATGTTTGGCCTAAGGTGTGGATGTCTTTCCTAGATAGTAGAATACTTGATCTAAGGTTATTAGACATCTTAATCCTCAAGGCCAGATAATAAGGGTTTGCTCTAAGGTGTGGTTACTAGATATCTAGAGAATTAAGTAAGTAATTACTTTTGTTTTTTCCTTGTATCATGGTAAAGAAGTCTTTTGCCTTATCCCCCCTTTTGGTTGGTGTACAAAAGAATTTTGAGCAATAAACTTAAGGCAGATCCTGGTATTCATCAGACTCCCTCCTGATCTTCTGTCTCTAGGCTGTTTCTTTCCTCAATCCACACTCCCCCTTTCAGGTATGGACTGGACAAGTGGCAGGACCTGACATATGCATACACACACTCATGAAGAGTGGATCAAGTGTGGCAAAACCTGTTTGGGGGTAGGGAAGTCTTAGAAGAATGTCAACATTTGAATTGAATCCTGTGGCATGTGTAGAAAATTTTCAAGGCCAGAACATTTAAAACTAAGAAATATGAAGAATGAAAATCAATGTAATGAGGTAAGGAATAAAAAGTTGTCAGAACTTCATGATGTTTCAATATGGGTTCTTACAATGTTGTACAGGATGGACCCAAACCGTTGGCCTCAAGGGTCCTTCTACCTTAGCCTCCTTTGTACTTAGAACTACAGGTGTGTGACATCAGGCCCAATTCCTTAAACACATAAAACATGTCAAACCTGATAAACAGTGATGAAATGAAAGAAAGAATTCAAGAAACATGTTCTGAATTTTGTGAAGATTGAACAGAACTTTGCTTTTATACAAACTGGGCTTGAAGTCCCTTCAGGACTTCTAAATGGAGATAAGCAACTGTCAGGAGAGCTCGGCAACACAGGCTAGACAAGTCAGGCTGAACACCTGATCACCAGCACAAACACACAGATGTCAAGTCAAGTCAAGAAGTGGTGAGCCACAGCAGTCAAGGCACAGAGCAGATGCTGTATAAGACAGTACTCACATACCGATGGACCTGAGGTGCTAACGAAGTCTTTTCATAGCTAATATACACTAAGTACAAGTATAATACATTAGAACCATAAACATAGACTAAAAAACTTTTTCTCAGGTATACTTTCTAATATGAAAAGTATTACTATCTACAAGTAAAATCTCTTTGGAATCTTTAACGAATTTTAGGATTATTAAGAGTATAAAATAAAAATATTTTCATCTTTGGGTTGCAGCGACTATGGGGGGTACAGCAAATGCTGAGATGAGTAGAAATGATACTCTACAGTTAGCAGACATCCCATCTCCTTTCCTCTGAAATATAAGCAGTAACAAAATCTTCCTATTCAAGGACAAACCAGGTTCTACATTTTTATTTCTAAAATCAATTACCACCACCTAGTGTCACAACTAGATATTACATCATCTATTTCCTTGGGGTTAGCCAAATGTCTACAGTGGTACATTTAAAATACCATGCTACTAAACACAGCAAATTAGGCCTTCATAAATTTTGGTGATGAAATACTCAGATCTGGTCAAAAATCACATACTCAGGTGCCTGATTTAATGCTACTGCTTTCTTCTTCTCCTCCTGATTGTTTTTGAGAAAAGGTTTCACATACCCAAGCTGCCTGAATATACTTTGTAGCTGAGGATAGCCATGAACTCCTGATCATCATGCCTCCACCTTCCAAGTTCTGGGATATAGGAGTACACTACTACAATTACCACTGGACAATAATATTTCAAAATGTGTATTCTCACTCCCCCAAACAAGATATATACTTAATATTACCTCCTTAGAATAAGTATAACAATCAAAATATACCAACATTTATATTTACGCCATGCAGTAAGACAGTGAACACATACTTTTCATAACATTTATAGAACTTATTTGCACTAGATTTTCTTTAAAAGTCTCAAAGTCTTTACCCTTTACTTGCAAGAAATTGGTAATTTTATGACTATTTTTCTTTGCTACTAATATCTCACCTAAATTGCTGATTGAGTTTTCAAAACTGTTATTTAGTTTGATGGCAAAGAAATAACTATTCTTTGGCCAAAAGGTAATATTTAATTTTATCTGGATATAGTTTATCTGGATACAGTTTAACTGGACTATATAACAAGTCCTGAAATATGTGCAATATGTATTCATGGTAGATTGGCTAAATCAAGTTAATTAACACCCACATATGACTGTCTCGAAAAAAAAAATCATCTAAACCAGATATCAGCATGTGATTTTTTTTTTTACTTCTTTACATATTTGTTACAATACTGTTCAGCCAAGTGTAAAATTATCGTGAGTATCCATCAATAGGTAAATGAAGAAAATGACCTTTACACACAATGGGATTTTGTTCATCCATAAAGAAGAACAAAATTATGTTGTTTGAAAGAGAATGGGTGGGATGGAGGATCAATGTTAACTGAAACGAGACAGACTCCAAACAAGAAATAGTATGTTTTCTTTCATATATGGAATTGACAGGAAAGCCATAGAGGATTATTAGGGTTGTGTAAGGAAGTGGGGGTGGGAGGCAAAATGAGAGGAGATGAATACAGTACAGCTACATCATACAGCATGTGATTCTTGACCAGATCCAAATACATCATCACCAGGAATATGTGAAGGCCTAATTTTCTATATTTAGTAGCATGATATTTTAAATGTACCACTGTAGATATTTGAAAACACATACATAATATATACACCTATGTCTCATGTATGTATTTTGAGGATAACAATATTTAAAGTCTACTTGGCAATTTTCAAGCAGAAACACTAGTCATTACTTACAGTCACCATGTTTTACAATAGATTTCTTAAACATATTTCTTTATCTGAATATTTTATATTTTATATTCTCTCACATTCTGCCCCCTTCCCTATAAAATACCTTTATTTTATACTCTATTTTTATAAGCTTACCTTTGGGGATTACTGACTGGGTCTCCTAGTACTTAGGTTTTATTTTCTGCACTACCAACTGTACCATCTTTTACAACTGTTGGGGAATTTATAGGAGTCCTGTTAGATTTTTCAAATTTGACGATATTTTGGAAACCAGATAATCACCCTACATGTAGCAAACATAACCTAGGCATCAAGCACTGTAAAAAGAATGCCACAGGTGAAGTTGACTGACTACCTTAAGAGCAATTTAATCTGGACAGAAAATGACAAGTAGGAAGTGGAAAGTACCAGGAAAGTAAAATGCTCAGAGATGAAGTCACAGTCACTTTCAGTAGGCCTCCTCGAACAGGTGACACATGAAAAGAGCATAGAAGTACTAGACAGGCAGAGGTTGGAAGACACATAGGTCCTTAGGTACAAGAACAAAGTCACAGAGGGCAGCAGTATTTTGTTCAAGTACAGGTTTGTGATAGGTGGAACTGGGAGATAATACAGGGTCTTGAGAAAGGTTTTAAAAATCCATATTTAAATATAGAAAAGGAAGATGACTTTTTAAAAAACAAAAGCAATCAACAGTTAAAATAAAATGCAATAAAGCACTTCAAAAGTCTATTTATTTCACTTACAGGAAACATACTAATGATTTCAATTTAAAAATCTATTTGTTTAAAGATCTTAATGGTGGCTCTTAAAAATACACTTAAGTGTTAAATTTTGACTTATAATAGAGAGTTGAGATTGAATAACTAGCTGGCAGTGATGACAAATGCCTTTAATCCCAGCACTTGGGAGGCAGAAGCGGGCGGATCTCTCTGAGTTCAAGGACAGCCTGTTCTATGGACTGAGTTCCAGGACTACACACAAAAAATCTTGTCTTGAAAAAAGAAAATGAATAACTATGCCTCAATTTAAATTATATGAGAGAAAAAAGTGAAGCTCTTTTTAAATCTACTGATGGCTACTGCTGGATTCCTAAGAAGCTGGACTGATACTATTATATAATAAGAGCGGCTACACTTACCGAAAACAAACTAGGATGCCCATTTGTTCCAGTTTGCATTTCTGTTGATGTGCTAAAGCATTCTGCCAAAAGGCAAATTAGAGGAGGAAAAAAGGGTTCTTTGGTTTATACTCCCAGGTTACATTTCATTATTGTGGCAAGTCAGGACAGGAATGCAAACCAGAGGAAAGCTCCTCACTCCCTTAACACTCCCAGGGTCATAACCAGCAGGCTTTCTTAGACATACAGCCAAAGCCCTCTTGTCTACAGAGGGTGCAGTCCACAGTAGGCTGGGCCCTCCTACATTGACCAATCAGGAGAGTCACTCACAGACACAGTCACAGGCTGACTTAGGCATTGTTCTATTGCTATGAAGAGACATAACAACCAAGGCAACTCCTATAAAAGAAAACATTTA